AACATTCTGTCTCCTGTTTTTAAATTTTTCCTTAATTATATCTTTTGCATGCTCTTTATCTTAATCTTGGGGTAGATCATTTTTTTCTGCCCACTTAATTTTCCAGCCTCCCACGAAGCCAACAAAATATAGAGAACATGTTCAGTTCTTGAGATTGCTTTGTTATATATACAGCAGCAATCCTAAGACCTTTTCCTGGGATTTTAGACTCTCAACATTGTGGTTTTAAATTTAATTTCAGCTGTCACTGGTGTACGGTGGTGATTTTCAAGTAGCTTTCTAGATTTTTATTCACATCATTTTCCTTGCTCTCATCTTTTTGGGTTTTAGAATAGATGTAGAGTAAGAAAAACAAATAGGGAAAAATCTCCTGTTACATGACAAAGAACAGGATAATTTTGGAAATGCTGTTGGTACTTCATAAATCAGTTCTATCTCATTTTCTGTTCTTGAAGCTAAAGACTTTGAGAAAGTTCCAGACATTGTTGAACATGGAAAAATCATATTTATTGCTTACTCTGGTTGGTTATAAATGAGCATTATTACTGGAGGTAAGGCTATGAATACAGTCCCACTTTTGTGATGTTCCAGGTTCTTTGACTGTACTTTCACAGAACTGAAAGCTCACATTTAACACAGGTAACCTTTGCTCTTTTATTTCCAGTTCAAGAAATTTATTTTCCAGAGATGTTTACAGTGACATATAGATATAGATAGATAGGTGTGTGTGTGAGTTGGGGGGACAGGAGGGATGGCCATTGCAACTGACATAAATAAATCATAGTAAAAGAGACGCACCCCCAAATGCCTACAAATAGGGTAGGACTTAATCGCATTAAAAACAGAGGTATGTTACTTGGGGATAGAGCCATGTTTCTCCAGGGAGCTTTATCACACTATTTGTGAGCACCTTCTGTCTCCTCCAGCCTCCACCCAATCCGCAAGACCACCTGAGGATCACTGGACATAAGAGAGCTGCTACTCATGGAATTTCTGTGTTGCAGTAACATTAAGGAAAACAGGATTATGAACTGGTGGTCTGAAGTTACTGGTCCCAGCAAACCTTCCAGGGTCCTAACATGGAATTGAAGCATTCACTCCCCCTCTCCTAAGTCCAGAATTTTTTTTTTTTTTTTTTTTTTTTTTTGGTACCAGGGATTGAATCCAGGGGTACTTAACCACAGGGCCACATCAGCCTTTTTGAAAAATATTTTGTTTAGAGAAAGGGTCTTGCTGAGTTGCTCAGGGCCTCACTGAGTTGCTGAGGCTGGCTTTGAGCTCCAGATCCTCCTGCCTCAGCCACCTGAGCTGCTGGGATTACAGGCATATGTCATAGTATCTGGCAGGCCAAGTCCATCATTTCTGAGCATCAAACCACAATAAAAATGGGTGGATCCTGATGAAGTAATAGAAATAAAGTCAAAATAACTAGGTAAAAAGGAAAAAGAAGACAATCCCCAGAAACCTAAGACTGCTTCTGATACGCCACTGGGGGTAGAGGGAAGGATCACAAAAGAGCGAATGGCTTTGGAGGTTTAACAGATTTAGCACTGGAGCACAGTGGCACATGCCTATAATCCCAGCTGCTCAGAGGCTGAGTCAGGAAGATTACAAATTCAAGCCCACCTTTGGCAGCTTAGTGAGACCTTATCTCAAAAATAAAAGGTAAAAAGGGCTTGGGATATGGCTCAGTGATAGAGCATCCCTGGGTTTGATCGCCAGTGTCACCCCCCAAAAAAAGATTTAGCTGTAGTGAGGAAAGATTTAAATATAGATAGAAGTTGCTTCTGAAAAAGAGTTGCCTGGTTTTGTCTCTGTGATCATGGGTTTCAGCTGTTCTCATTATCAGTGATCAGAGCGAACCTGAAATTTGGAGGATTTAGGAATCATCTAGTCCATATCCAGGGCATGTGGCCAGCTCTTTATTGGAGAACTGGGTAGAGCTAGCATTCTCCTGGATCATGTTGTAAACTGGAGATGTAGTAGGTGGAGATTTTATTTTGCTGAAGGAAAGGTGTTGAATTGTTTTCCTCCTTTCTAGTGAGTATTTGCTTGCTCACAGAAGACAAATAGTTGTACAGATTAAATTACAAAGGGTAGTTTGTCCTCTGATGTTCCTAGAGCCATGGCCAGTAGAAATTAGGTTGTCTCATAGGGCACGGTGGTGTGATGGAAAGGATGCTAGCGTGCTATATGATAAAGTAAGAGAAATTGAGACTATTGGAATGCAGCTTTTCTGGTAGTTTGACCACCTTGGTCTGGTGAAGGTGGAGCACAAGTTTTATTTCTCCATTCCTCTCTGCTGCTTGGTACCCATTTGTCAGGTGGGATACAGGGGGTGAAGGTTAAGTCTGGACCTCACTGCAGAACTTAGAATGCAGCGTGACACAGTTCAGCCATTATTATTCAGCAAATGTTAACTCCTGGGATGTTAGCTGTTTTTAAATTTTTTTAGTTGTTGATGGACCTTTATTTTATTTGCTTCTTTATATGTGGTGCTGGGAATCAAACTCAGTTCCTCACACATACAAGGGAAGCGCTCTACTGCTGAGCCACAACTCCAGCCCCTGTTAGGCTGTTTTATGTGCTGGGGAGGCAGGACTTAAAATGAGCAAAGTCCCAGCCAGCTTGGCTTTTACATTGTAGCAAAGGGAGACAAACTGAACTCCGGTACAGTGGCTAGAATGGGAAATGGTGATACAGCTTCTGCTTGAAACGGTTAGAGAAGTCCAGGCTGGGATCAGGGTGTTGCAGTTTTAAATAGGAGAGCTTAGAGGGAGCCTCCCTGCAAGGTAACATGTGAACATATGAATGTGACCTGAGGTAGACATTGTTTCAGTTCAGGGAATGAAGGAGAAGGGCCCAGTCTGCTAGAGGATTGCACCTGGTGTGTATGAAACCAGGGAGTGGGGGGTCCTGAGTGGGAGTGGGGAGACCCTGAATGCAGCGAAGTGAGCGAGGAAAGTCATGATGCGGTCAGAGGCAGTGGGAGCTCCACAACCATTGCAAGGACTCAAGATTTTAGCTGATTGAAATGAGGCCCCTGAAGGATGGGGCAGAGGAATGACATGATCTGACTTAGAATTTTGAGTGTGTGGTGCTGGGATCAGATCGCACAAGGCTGCAGGCTCGCTCGGCAAGTGCCCTGCCACGGAGCGCCATCCCCCAGCCCTGACTCAGGGTTTTGATTGACCTTCCAAAATTCATTTTCCCACTGACATTCCAGAGGTACTACTTTTTATTTCCAACAACAGAATATAGAGGGATCTACTTACACCTCATAACCCGGTATTAAACTTAATTTTTACTTATTCAGGAAGTTAAAAAAAACTTATTTTAATCTGCATTTGTTTAATTTTGAGGTAGGGTTAACTGTACTGTTTTGTGATCTGTCTTTGCTTTTTCATGTTCTTTACCTGTTGACTACCTTACTCTTTTATTTATTTATTTGTTTGTTTGTTTATTTATTGCAGTTGCAAATGGACAGAATGCCTTTATGTTTGTTTAGTTTTATGTGGTGCTAAGAATTGAATCCAGTGCCTCACACATGCTAGGCAAGCGCTTTGCCACCGAGCTACCGCCCCAACCCAAATACTTTATTGTATTAATTTTTTGGAGCCTCTTTTTTTTTGGGGGGGGGGCACTGGAGATTGAACTGCTTAAGCAGTGCCATTATTTTTTATTTTGAGACAGGGTCTCACTAAGTTACATTTATCTCTCTTTCTTTTTGTCTTCTAGGTTTCTTAGGCTTTGTCTTCTTTCATTCTTGAAAAGGCCTGATTTCTGAGATTGGTAGATAGCTATCAATCCAGGGAGACTGATCACTATTTTCTACTTGGCTAGTGGTTATCTCAGCCCTACTTTGTGACTTTATCCTCCTACTGACAAGAAATACTACTTTGATTTATCTTGTTTGGGTCTAGCAACCACTGATATTTTAAGAAATAATGTATTGAGCAGTTTTTCTAATGGCAGAGAGGGTCACTAAAAAAATATTACTGGTTGGGTATCATTTTTTTGGTACTGGGGATTGAACTAGACCACTGAGCCACATCCCAGCCCTATTTTGTATTTTATTTAGAGACAGGGTCTCATGAGTTGCTTAATGCCTCATTGCTGAGGCTCCTGCCTCAACCTCCCAAGCTGCTGGGATTACAGGTGTGCCCTACCGCGCCCGGCTCTGATTGGGTGTCTTCTGTTGCCTTTATCTTTAGGTGGCTTGCTGGTCTGAATTAGAGTGTCTACTGAGATTGCCTGGTGTGGGGTGATGGGAAAGGTAACAGGATCCACACTTCTGTCTAGGTGCAGTGATGTGGGGATGAGAACAGTGGGGTAGATTCCTGACTACAGGGTTTACTGCTGTGTTGGAGGAGGACAGAAAGTTGTTAGTAAGCAGCTGGCCTGTGTATGCTGGTGTCCTACGCTGGGATAACAGTGTTAACTTACACGGAACATAAGTTTACTAATTTTGTGGCATAGAGGAAAAAAATTCTTAAAAATATGGAAAAAGAGGAGAGATTAGGGTAAAATTGGGACTGGGAGAATAGTCTGTTCATTGGTCACATTTCTGCTGTTTTTGTTTTTAAAGCTAGTTTAAGTAGACTTCTTACCATAGTCTAAGGTTTTGGTACACTGAAATGCTTGCTGATCCTTCTGGTTTTGTGTGGAATGTACAACCTGTGAAATTCAAATAGGTCTACACACTGGTGTAGACCTGTCTTCATTTGTTAGGGTGAGTATCTTAGCCTTTAGATAAATAATTAGCTTTGGTAGCACTAAAAGACTTCATCTGTGACTGGTCTTGACTTGTAGTAGGTAAGATTAATTCAAATGTGTGCTGAGGTGATTCATTGCCAAGATTGGGACCAGAATCTCGTGTTTTACCTCAGTAGTCTTTGACTAAGTGACCTCAGGTTATACTCTCTCATAATGGGATCAAAAAAGATGACAGAGTCTTGTCCCTAGGGTTTGACCTTAACTCCTCAGAGTTTCCATTATAGGACTGGCTGGACAATGGCCCAGAACAAGCTATTCAACAAGATCCTCAAAGCCCTGCAGTCTGACCGACTTGCCCGCTTGGCCAATGAAGGGGTAAGACATCAGAAATCCGCCCAGGTGGGCTCTTCCTAGTTCAGGCCTCTCTGGCTGACTGATTTGTACCCACCTCCCATTTGCTAACCAAGTGGAACTCTTGTTCCTTCTTTTTGCATCTTTCAGGCTTGTAATGAGCCAGTGCTACGCCGTGTAGCCGTGGACAAGTGTGCAAGGCGCGTGCGGCAGGCCCTGGCCAGTGTGAGCTGGGACACCAAGCTGATCCAGTGGCTGCACACGACCCTGGTGGAGACCTTGAGTCTGCCCATGCTGGCCGCCTACCTGGATGCTTTGCAGACACTGAAAGGGAAGGTAAGGCTGTGGTTGGCGTCTGCCCTGTGTTGGGGTCAGCCAGTCCCTGATGTGGGTTCAGATGTGGGGTTTGGCGAGGTCATTACCTGGTCAGTTTGGAGGGTGTGGCTAGCCAGTATGCTATTAAAAATAGGAGATAAGGTATCATTTTACACTTGGTCTGGTGTAAACATCTTCATGCCATCTCCAGGATGAGTGTGGGACCTGAAAACCAGAGTACTCATAGCCTTGCAGCTCCTGGCCTGTGTCATTGAACGTAGTGGAAGAGATGAAAGTGTACCGGGGGCAGTGTTGATAAGGGGCAAGAGGCAGGCCTGTGAGCTCAGGGGGCCGGGGGATTACAGAGGGAGGGGTACTCTGCCCTCGGTCTCTCCTCATCAAGGGATGAGCCTTCAGTTACAACACCTGAGCTGAAATAATTGATTACAAGCGCAGCATTTCCTGCCCCTGTGGTCTTACCTACCTAGAATTGCACAATGTTCACCTATTTCCCTTATTGTGATGTTAATGGCTGCATTGGGCCTCAGTGTGGTGGACAGCAGGTTCTAAAGGCCAGTCATCTAACTGTCTCAGCCCTGCCACTGACCCACAGGGGAAGCTGAGACCTGTACTTCAGTTTCCTCCAAAATGTTCTTGATAACAATATCTATATGCAATTTCTGTGAGAATTAAATTAGTTCATCAAGAAAGAGTGGTGCAAAATTTTAGCTTAGTTAGCTCACAGAAACTGTTAAGGAGTACCCTTGTAGTTTCTGGAAATGTGTGAGGTACTTTGCCCCAAATCAAAATAGCCTCAGACAACCTGTATCAGTTCAGTTCATGGAGCTGGGAATGGAGCCCAGGGCCTCACGTGTGCTAGGCAAGCGCCCTACCTCTGAGCTACATCAGTTTTTTTTTTTTTTTTTTTTTTTTTTTAAAGTAGATTTTCTTTTTCCTTTTCAGGCAGGTGCAAAGTTGCTTGGCCTTCAGCCATACCCCAAAAACTTTGTCTCTTGACCTGACTTTAAGTTTCAAGATGCTGAGTTTGTTAGAAAGCTACAGAAGACAGGCTTTGTATAAAACTCGGGACTAGAGATGTTCATGTTTTTATGGTAGGAAGTTTGACCCTAAATTTTTCACTTAGTGGTGTGCATAAAACAGAACTGCTCCTTGCTCTGGTGCACCTTATTTTCTAGTGGAGAACGAGATGAATGAAAATAGACCCCAGACTTCCCTAGGGGTAAATGGACCTGGACTTGGGCATAGGTGGGGTGGGACCAAGGTAGCCCTTGGCAGAGAGTGGCCTGTTCATAAATACATTCTTCCTGTGGTAAAGGTGCAGCCGTGGTATGTATGCTCCAGGGGATGAGGGCCAGTAGTGCCCAGGGCATTGGTGGCTCTGCCTTGCTCGCCATAGCCAGCGTGATTACAGTCTGACTCCCTTGGCTTTATTTTTTTTATTTATTGGTAATGGGATTGAACCCAGGGGTGCTTAACCACTGAACTCTTTTTATTTTTTTATTTTGAGAGAGGGTCTCACTAAGTTGCTGAGGCTGGCTTTGAACTTTGATTCTTTGGCTTAGCCTCCCAAGTTGCTGGAATCACAGGCATGCCCCACCACGCCCTGCTGATTCTTCTTGGTTTAGAAGCAAGTTTGTGTTTCTTCCCCATGTAAGTCCCCAGCTGGGTGTGGCCTGTGTGAATGAGGTGCATTCAGGTGAGCATGAAGGGCTTCACCGGTGGGCACTGTGTAGCCACGCTGCTGGTTTGCTGGAATGGCACAAGTTTCACTGGTATGCTAGTCAGCAGGGTTCCCAATACTTGCACTGTCCACTGGGTATGCTCTCCATGGTGCTTCCTCTAATGCCAGACTATGTCACTCACTCACACTCTGGTTGTTTCTCAAAGGGTATAAATGATTTGCTTTTAAAGTACCTGCTGGTGTTAAGATGCAGCTGATGGGGATCTTGCTCTTGACCCACCTGCCATCTCCGCTGGCTCCATTATAAAGAGGGCAGGGAAGGTCTGGGTGCAGCCTCCTGCTTGTGTGCCAAGAGGGAGTGCACCGCTGGAAAGGCAGGGAGCTTGGTTTTCCTAGCACCAAGTGGAAGAGTCAGTTGTTGGTTACTTACTGTTGACAGAAGAGGAGCTTCGAGGCTTTGGGGTTTCCAGGTGTACTCTGCTGCCAGGCAACGCTCTTGAAGTCAGCTTGGGTCGAATCCACTGCCTCCAGGTGTTGAGCAGAGAGGGAGTTGCAGGCCTAGCCAGCTTGGGATGGAGTTCTTTGGTAGTTTGGGTTAGCCTTTGTCACTAGTTTTACACTCCCCTACTTCCATAAGCGGATCCTCCACTTGAGTCCACCTGTGCCTCGAATAAGCCCCATCTGTTCTTGCCTCTGGTGCTGTCTCATCTTTTGGAATCCTGCCTATTCCTTGCGCCTGTCTCACTTCATGAGCTGCCATCTTCAGATGAGAATTGCCTGTGAGCCGCCCCTTCTCCACAGGATGGTGGGAATCAGCAGTGTGGGGTTTCCACTGCTCCATGAGAGCTAGCACCCTGCTTCCCTGTGCCCACGTTAGTTGTGTGTCTGTCTTTCTCACCCCTCACAGGTTAAATTTCTCTGCAGGACTAGCCTGGTGCTTTGTAAGAGCAGCTGTTGCATATTATTTACTTATTTATTTTGGTGCTGGGAATTGAACCCAGAGGTGCTTAACCACTGAGCAACATCCCCAGCCCTCCCCCCTATTTTTTAAGAGAGAGAATTTTAATATTTATTTATTTTTTAGTTTTTGGCGCACACAACATCTTTGTTTGTATGTGGTGCTGAGGATCGAACCCAGACCGCACACATGCCAGGCAAGTGCGCTACCGCTTGAGCCACATCCCCGGCCCTTTTAAAAATTTTTTTCATTTTGAAATGGGGCCTCACTAAGTTGCTAAGCCTGGCTTTGAACTTACGATCCTCTTGCCTCAGCCTCCCAAGCTGCTGGGATTATAGGGATGTGCCACCACGCCTGGCTGCATATTTATTTTCTAAGTGAACTAAAATGTTCTCATAATTATATCCCCTAATTTCTCATGCAAAAGTCTTTTTAATCTCTTTTTGTGTTGGCAGTGCTGGGTGGGGACCGAACCTTAGGGCCTTGTAAATGCTAGGCAAGTGCCCTGTCACTGAGCCCCTGGTTTCTCTCTCTTCAAATTGAGAGTGGCCTATCTTTTCCTGGTATCTCTGAAGTCTAACAACCTGCATCAAACCATACTTTTCATTCTCCAATCTCTCAAAAACTTTTTTTTTTTTCTTTCTGAAAAGGATCTCCAATGTGTAAAAACCTTTTCCTTCCATGAGATCACTTTGGCCTCTTGTGGGCAGTGTGCAATTCACACAGATAGTTCTTTGCAGTGTAAGCATCAGCATGTTTTAAACCTATATTTATACATCTCCAAGGTCACATCTTTGGTGGCTAGTAAAAAACAGGATATGGATAAATCATGATATACACAATATAGTTGGATGTGTTTTTTGAACACAATAATAGGTTTCATTAACAAGCCACAACTTGAAGGCTATACTCTAGAAGAAAATGCAATTTTTTAAAAAAATTATAAAGTCAGCAAATGTTCACTGAGGAAATTTAGAAAATACAAAAATACATAAAGAAAAGTCACCCATAATTCCACAGTGATCATTATTATACTGACATTTGGCATGTTTTACATAAGCCTTTTTTTTCTGAGTAGAAATAATTTTTATTTTTTTTTGTCTTACCTATAGCATTTTAGCAAAAATATTTCTTCCTTCTTTGTCTCTTTCTGTCTGTTTCTCTCTGTCTCTCAGTATTAGGGATTGAACCAGGGGTGCTGTACCACTGACCTGTATCCCCAAACCTTTTATTTATTTGAATTTTGAGACAGGGTCTTATAGCTCAGGCTGACCTCAAACTTAGAATCCTTCCAGTCACTGAGATTACAGCATGGCTACCATGCCTGGTGCCAATTATTTCTGTAGGTTATACCTGATTTAGTAAGTATTTGAAAATAATCCATGCTGGGCGTGATGGTGTACTTGTGTAATCCCCGTAGCTCTGGAGGCTGAGCCAAGGAGCATCATGAGTTCAAAGCCAGCCTCAAGCAATTAATGAGACCCTGTCTCAACATAAAGAATAAAAAGGGCTGGAGATGTGACTCAGTGGTTAAGTGCCCCTGGGTTTACTTCATGGTACCCAAAAAGAAAATAATCCATAATATCCAGTTAGGTTGATAATTTACTTAGCTACTCATTTAGGTTGTTTCTGTGTTTTGATTGTTTTTGACAGAGAATTTGTCTCTGTGCAAAGCTCTCCTTGTTCGTGTGTGTGTGTGTGTGTGTGTGTATTTTTTATATAATTTCTTTTTTTTTTGGTACCAGGGATTGAACCCGGGGGCAGCCCTGCTTCCCTGCACCCTTAACCACTGAGCCACATCTCAGCCTTTTAATTTTTTTATTGTGAGTCAGAGTCTTGCTGTCACTTAGGGCCTCACTAACTTGCTGAGGCTGGCTTTGAACCTGCGATCCTCCTACCTCAACCTCTCAAGTTGCTGGGGATTACAGGCATGCACCATTATGCCTGGCTTGATATAATTCTTGAGGGAAGGTTCTCAGAAGTGAAATCCTTTGGAACAGTGATGAGAATAAACTAAGGTCCCAGATGCATTTCACCAGTTTGCTTTCAAAAGGAGCGCACTCACTGTCCTTACACACTGGGGACATGCTTTTCACGCAGCTTCACGCAGCCACTTATTTGTACCTGTGCTTCACACTGAAGCATCTCCAACTTCTTCCTTCTAGATCCCGACCTTGATTGACCGCATGCTTGTGTCGTCCAACACGAAGACTGGGGCCGCAGGAGCTGAGGCCTTGTCACTGCTGCTGAAGAGGCCCTGGGACCCTGCTGTGGGGGTGCTTTCTCATAACAAGCCAGTGAGTTGAGGGGCTCAGCCATAACTGGCAGTGAGATGTTCTGACTCAAGCCCTGGCTGGGGAGGATGTAACCTTTCCCTTAATCACTCGTCTATCAGTGCCTAACATAGTTCCATAAACAAAGGTCGTGGGTTGGGTGCTCAGCCTAGAGAGGCAGTCCTGGGGGTTGGGATGAGTCTCTCACTCACCAGGTGGGACTCTCTCTTCTCAGAGCAAACTCCCTGGCTCTCCTCTGATCCTCATCGCCTCCTCGGGCCCCTCCAGCTCTGTGTTCCCCACCTCACGCCGCCACCGCTTCTGGCAGTCTCAGCTCTCCTGCTTAGGCAAGGTTTGTGGGGGGCAAGAGCACGGCTCCGGGTGGGAATAAGGTCTTGGAGGCTGGAAGAGAAGCAGCGCACGGGGTGGTCAAAATGGACGCACTTGAAACGAGGAACATCCCGTCCAGGGCTCTTGTCTGGTGTTCATACAGCGCTTGCTGTGAGGTTGAGGGATTCAGAGCAGATTAGGCAGAATGAGAGATTGGACTTACCGCTGTGGCATGGTGCCCTTCTTTCCTCTAGGTCATTCCTGTCGCCACCCATCTGCTGAACAACGGCAGTGGGGTGGGCCTTCTGCAGTGCCTTGAGCATATGATCGGGGCGGTGAGAAGCAAAGTACTGGAGGTGAGAATGCCCCCGCCTTGGGTGGCCTGGACGCCGGTGTGCTGGGGGGTCTGCCCCAGCGCAGCCTCCTACTCACTGTCGTCTTTCTCCTCCCACGAAGATTCACAGCCATTTCCCACACAAGCCCATCATCTTGATCGGCTGGAACACAGGAGCTTTGGTGGCCTGTCAGGTAAGTGGTGTCCATCACATTTGGAGGCGTCTTGGGGTACAGTACTACTTGCTTCTGAGGGCCACCGTTGAGGCCTCATGGTGTTTCGGTCCCAGTGCCAGATGATTACTGTATGATTGCATTTTAACTGTAAAAGACAAAACTGTAGTTGTTTTATTTTTTAAAGTTTTTTTAAAATAACTTAATTTTTTTATGTGGTGCTGAGGATTGAACCCAGTGCTTCATGTGCAAGGCAAGCGCTTTGGAGTTGAGCTACAGCCCCAGCCCAGACTTTAGTTTTTAACTTTATTGTAGAAATTTTAACTTTATTGTAGAAAAGCAGGAATCAAAGCAGAGAAAAGCTGGTGAGTACACCACAGACCTCTTGCCTACTTTTACCAGTGACCAGCTCATGGCAGGCTGGCTCCATCTTTCCCCTTCCTCTGCTTTCTCTACCACTCAGGTTATTTTGAAGAAAATATCATATCTTTCATTTTACACATTTCAGCATTTCTTTTTTTTTTTTTTTTTTTTTTTTAATATTTATTTATTTAAGTTCTCGGCAGACACAACATCTTTGTATGTGGTGCTGAGGATCGAACCCGGGCCGCACGCATGCCAGGCGAGCGTGCTACCGCTTGAGCCACATCCCCAGCCCTCAGCATTTCTTAAAAAAAAAAAAAAAAACATAAGAACTCCGGATTCCTTTTTTTCCACGTATAAGTACCATAGGATTCTCCCAACTAAAAAAATTAATCTCGTAGGCACAAATTAATAGCTCTGGAATTTGATGTTGTGTTCATGTTCTGTCCCTTCCTTTGTACTACGTGTCCGCCAGTTTGTGTAAGTACCCCTGATGTGTCCAGAGCCCCAGTTGGTCAAGTCTGGTGGAGTAGATATTGAGAGCCCAGAGAGGGAGATGGCGGCCACCCTCACTCCTGCTCCTAGGGAGGGGGAATCAGACTCTTCCACAGTCTGAGACGTCTGGAGCAGAAAGATCTTTCTCTACTTAAGGGAGAAAGGCAACGCTTGTTGCTGTGTATTTACTCTTGGTGGAGAAAAGAGACGAGAAGTCTCGGCCTAGCAGGTTGACAAGGTTGAAATAAGAAACCTCCCTTTCTGTGGTTCCCCATCTGAGAGGACTCCACTTCTCTCCGTGGTAGCTGCCGTGGGACAGTACATCTTGTGTTAGGACAGGGGAAGAGGAAGTGGGGCTGGCAAGTGGATCTGCACATCACCTCGACACTGGGCAGGCTGAGGTACAGTGAAGTCATTTCCCTTCAGACAGACTGTGCTATTATCCACAGGTGTCAGTCATGGAGTATGTCACTGCAGTTGTCTGCCTTGGGTTTCCTCTGCTCACCGTGGACGGCCCCCGAGGGGTAAGAGTGAGATGAAGCAGGGTCACTGACAGTGGGGGAAGGGGACAGAAGAAGCACGTCCTTGTTTGTGCTGGGGTCAGTGCTAAGTGTGAACTGGCCAGATCTAACCCTGTACCTCTTTTAGGATGTGGATGATCCCCTCTTGGATATGAAGACTCCAGTCCTCTTTGTCATTGGTCAGAATTCCCTACAGTGTCACCCTGAAGCCATGGAGGACTTCCGGGAGAAGATCCGTGCTGAAAACAGCTTGGTGGTGGTTGGGGGAGCTGATGACAATCTCAGGTGGGTAGGTTCTCCTGGGGTTGTCACAGTGTTGGAGGAATGCTGTAAGGTGGCACCATAACCGGCGGATAACCTGCTTAATAGTTAACAGTAGGCATTGAAATATTTTTTATTAATTTTAGATCTATAAAAAAAAGTTACAGTTTTGAACAACCAATGAAAAAAAAAGAAAAAATTTAATCAAAAAAAAAAAAACAATGGTGGATAAAGCAAAAAAAAAAAAAAAATTACAGGGCTGGGGTTATAGCTCAGTTGGTAGAACACTTGCCTAGCATGTGTGAGGTACTGGGTTTGATCCTCAGCACCATATAAAAATAAAATAAAGGTATTGTGTTCATCTACTATAAAAATATTTTTTAAAGAATTACAAAACTGAGGACAAGAAAAATCATATGCCCTTCCCCTGGATTTCCCAAATGTTGGCATGTTGCATAACTGAAGGATAATTCTCAAAATCAGGAAGTGAACATTGTTGTAATGGCATTAGCTAATCTGTAGACTCAGGTCTCGTCAGTTGTCTCCCTAAGGCCCTTTTCCCGGTTCCACATAACTGGTTCAACATAATCCAGGATCCCACATAACTCTGTGGTGGCCATGCATCTTCAGTCTCCTTCCTTTGTCTCCCCATTCCCACCCCATGGCACTGGGCACTGAGTCCAAGGGTGCTCTGCCACAAGCTACACTCTCGCCCTTTTTGGGTTTTACTTATTTTAGTTTATTTAATTTTTGGTACTGGGGATTTAATCCAGGGATACTTCATCACTGAGCCACATCTCCAACCCTTTTTATTTTTTATTTTGTGACAGGGTCTCACTGAGTTGCTGAGGGCTTTGCTAAGTTGCTGAGGCTGGCTTTGAACTTGAGATCCCCCTGCCTCAGCCTCCCGAACCGCCACCAGCTTTGTTTTGAGACAGAGACTAGGCTGCCCAGACTGAATTCAAACTTGTAGTGCCTGCCTCAACCTCCTGAGTTGCTGGGTTTACAGGTGTGCACCACCATATGAGGCTTCCTTTGTCTTTATGACCTTGACATTTGAAAATTATTGGCCAGTTATTTTGTAGACGGTCCCTCGCTTTGGGGTTTTCACTTTTCTTCTTGGTTACATTGAAGACATGCATTTTTGGCAGGAATGCCACAGAAGGTTGTGTTCTTGGCCCTTATCATTTACTCCCATAACAGAATTCCTGTTCCTCCTGTCACAGATTATCACCACTGATAGTCCCTCTGCTACAGTGGTTTAGGTGGCTTCTTCCAGGTTCTCTACAACGAAATTACTGTTTTTCCCTTTGTAGTTAGTAGTTATCTTGTAGGGGGAAGCCTCCTTGAGACACTGCAGAAATACTCTTTTGTCAATGTACTTCTTTTATTTATTTATTTGTTTGTTTGGTTATTGGTTATGGGTGGACACAATATCTTTATTATTATTTTTTTTTAATGTGGTGCTGAGGATCAAGCCCAGTGCCTCACGCATGCCAGGCGAGTGTGCTCTGCCTCTGAGCCACAACCCCAGCCCCTTGTCAATGTACTTTCACTGGAGTAGGCATTTTTAAAAATTGTGTTTCTATTGAGGATGAGTGAAGGTAGATGTTATTTGCATTAAGCCTCTTTTGATATATGTTGGAGTACAAGTACAGCTAAAGTTTGGAACGAGATGACTGCTTTTGCCTTTCGATGCTGGGACAGAGAACTTTAGTAGTGTTGTCATGAAGTGTACTAAAAAAGAGGGTGCATCTTTTATTTACATTGGTTTTCTTAGTAATTCAGACCTTCTCGTCTACGGGAGAAAGTTATGTGTGCTGAGTTTCTGTAGGGAATGCGGAGAGGTGACTGCTGCTCCCCACTTTCCTTGTGGGCTGCTTATGACATTCATGTGGTGGTTTTGGGTTTTGTTTTTTTTTTTTTAATTTTGAAGCAGAGCCTCATTAAGCTGCTAAATGGGCCTCAGACTTTGGCTCCTCCTGCTCAGCCTCCTCAGTGTTTGGGATCACAGGAATCACTGCGTGCCTGGCTGCGTGTGTCGAGTATTGGACAGAGAACTGGGAGCCTCCATTGATATTGACCCTTTTGCTCAGAAATTTGGGCACTCACTGTCCTCATCTGAGAAATGAGGGTGTTAACAGGTTCAGAGGCAACAGCAGTCAATTGGGATTTCAGGATTTGGAGTTTCGGTAATACTGTTCTCCGTCCTGTAGTGTGGGGACTTGGTTGTCCCTTTGCCAGGATCTCTGGTCAGAAGCCAGGGTATTCAAGGCTAGCTCTCAAAGTGGGGAATCCAGCCAACTATGGTCATTTTCTCTTACCCTTTCAGAACTAGCCTGGAACCCCCTTTCTTCTGCTAAACCACTAACCTTAGGGTTGGAGACTGGGTCTGGGGGCCTCTCAGGGCCTCGAAGTCCAGGTGGACTTTACCTGTTGAGACAGAGGTGTGGTAGTTGTGGAGGGGATAGTCCCAGGCACTGTGCCTGCTTTTCCAGGTGGGTTGTTTAGCTCAGTCCCACAACTTCCTGAATGAGTATTATGATTCCCCATTTTGTGATGTAAACACAAGCTCAGAGAGGTTGTGTCACCTGCCTGAGGGCTAATAAAGCGCTACTTCCTGGGTTCAGGAAGTGATAAAAGAGAAATAAATTCTTATTTCCTTAGGATGCTATGGAATATTTAAAAAGTAAGCATTTTCTTCTTTTTATCTCTTAGAATAAGCAAAGCAAAGAAGAAATCAGAAGGGTTGACTCAAAGCATGGTGGACAGATGTATTCAGGTGAGCCCTTGTCTCGTGCTTCTCTTGGCGAGGCCCGCCTCTGTTGCCTTTTAGGTTCTGTCTTGGCAGCAGCTCGCTGAAGGGTGCGGGGTATCCCTGGGGCCTCTGGTAGGCCTAAATCACAAGTGAAGGAGAGTGATGACCTGGGCGGAGGCCAAGCGGCAGGAGAGAGGGTCTGCGGGAGTGGGATGGAGGACACAGAGGCACCTGCAGCTGTGTGGAAGCCTGGGCTTTGCGCAGGCGCTGTGAGTGGGGAAGCACCAGCACACTCAGGCCAAAGCCACAGTAGGGTCCCATTGGCTTGATGCTCTCTGGGAGTTTCTGTCCTCTGATGGAGGACTCATTTGCCTAGCTCCTTTTTGCACCAGGATGAGATTGTGGACTTCCTGACGGGAGTGCTCACTCGCTCTGAGGGCCATGTGGGCTCGGAGCCTCGGGATCAGGATGCTGAGAAGAAGAAGAAGCCCCGTGATGTGGCCCGAAGAGACCTGGCCTTTGAAGTCCCTGAGCGGGGCAGTCGACCTGCTTCCCCGGCCGCCAAGCTGCCCGCCTCACCCTCAGGCTCAGAGGTAGGGTGGGCGGGAGGGAGCCTTCTTGCTGAGGGTGAGGACCTCGCTGTGGGCTCTCCAGCCTCCTGTGGGTGCTTATGAGTCCCTCTGAGGAGGCTCCAGGGGGACCTGCTGACTATGGTCCAATTCCAAGCAACATTAGCTCATCTCTTGGCCTTCTCCTCAGGATCTCTCCAGTGTGTCCAGCAGCCCCACCTCCAGTCCCAAGACCAAAGTGACCACAGTGACCTCTGCTCAGAAGTCCAGCCAGATCGGGAGCTCCCAGCTGCTGAAGAGACACGTGCAGCGGGCAGAAGCCATGCTGACCCACAAACAAGCCCAGGGTACAGGCTCCGGGCCCAGTGGCCTCTTGTGGGTTCTGTCTTCGGCAGGTGGTTTCAGGTGGTGGTTGGGAAGCACTGGGTCTGCAGCTTTTTCCAGGAGAGTATGAGTGGCTCCTTTCCCACATTCCTGTCCAGGCAGAATTAGGTTACAGTGAATCCCAAAGGCTGTGCGTTACTGGGGCTTTGTGGTCACTAGTTACAGCTTTGCCTTGGTGTGTTGTCAGGTTTATGAGCTGACTCGTGCACGTTGGCCTAACCTTTTTTTCTAACCTCTAATTGGGGAAGCTGTTGTCTTCCCTTGCTCTAAGCCTCGTCAGCCACTCCTGCTGACGGTGTGTGTATGGAGTGACCGATTTTAGTCATCAGGTTCTAGGGCATGTCACCTGGTGTAGGCCCTTCCTTTGCTTTGCCTTTCTTCAAGGTTAAGGTTCTCACTCTGGGACCTTCCACAAAGTTGATCAGAACTCTACAGATAAGCGTAGAGGGAAATGCTTGTGTGGTTGAGCTCAGTGTGGAGGCCGCAAGGCCATGTGAGGAGCTGTAGAGGAGGTTGTTGGGTCAAGGAAGCAGCAGCAACAGTCCCTTCCCTGAGCCATAGTCATCCTGGTGGGCAACCCTGAGCTAAGGCCAAGATACTTGATGACATATCCAAGTGCACAGATCATCAAGGTTCTCAGTTGGAAGTGAGAGTGCTCGGAAGGGGCAGTGGCTGGAGATGGCTATCAGGTAGAGGACTCGGACGAGAGGAGGCGGATCGGCTTGACACCCCTGTGTTGCTTTTGGTGGAGTCACGAGGTCAGAACTTATCCCCAGGCCTCTTGGGAGATTGCTCATAAGAATGCTGCTAACCGGGAGCAGAGGGTGATTGCGTGGGCAAAGGCAAAAAGGGGGCTTGGCCCCTACGATCTGCCTGGATGCCCTGTGACAGTCCTTTTCCTGAGTGTTGGCCAGAGCCCAGTCTTGGGTGGGCGGTGTACCTTTAGGTGGTTGATGAAGACGAGCTGTGGTCTGTGGTGCTCATGGATGGCATGATTAGTTGAGCATCTACTTAGTTCTGGTGGGCTGGGCTTGAAACAGCACCCCGAGTGCCGTAGGAGATAGGAGCAGCTGTGGAAGCCTGGCTTTAGCAGAGCTGGTGGGTGAGCTTGGAGTAATAGCCAACAGAAAGGAAGCCCTCACTGTTCACGCCTTCCTCTTGCCCTGGCCTTGCTCAGCTCGTGAGTCTTGACCATGGCCCTGTGAGGCTGTATGTGTCCTGTCCAGTGTGGAGCTCCTGCCTGGCGGGTCAGGAAACCCTGGCAGTGACGTCAGAGAGCCCCGTGGACCGTTTTCATCTCTTCCTGTTCCTTCTTTCCTGTTCCTCTGGCTGGCTGTGATTCTGTAATTCTCTCTGATTCCTTCTAGCACAGTTTGCTGCTTTTCTGAAACAAAACATGCTGGTGAGGAAAGCTCTTCCTCCTGGCGCCTCCTCCTGTCTCTTTGGTGAGTATTGCTCTTCTCTGCTGTCCTCCTCTCCCTCACCTCCGTAGTCTCCTCCTGTCCTCTGCCTCCTCCTGGCTCCTGGTTCTCTTGGGCCGCTTCCCTTCTTCCCACCTTCCTTCCCACCTTGGCCTTTGTTCTCTGTCCTTGTGTTTGCTTCTCCTGGGGTTTTCCTTTCTCTCTGGCTGGTTGTTTCACTGTGGCTCTTGCTCTGCTGCTCCGGTGTGTGCCTGGGCCTGTAGCCTGTGGCGTGTTTTCTTGTCTGTGTGCCCCCCACCTCTGTCTCCTTGTTTCATTCCTGGCAGCTGCAGGCACACTGGCCCTTCACCAGCATGAAGCCCATCACTGCTCCCGCCCCCCCCCCCCCCGCCACTTCTGAGTTCAACCAGTGCATTTGTCCCTAAGCACTGCCCCCAACATGGTGGTGCCCTCTGGTGGCCCCGTGCCAGGAGTCCCCCATCCTCGTGTGACTGCTGCCTTCCTTCCCACCTCTAGCCCTGCTCGCCTGTGTTGAGAGGGCCTGGGGGGAGTTCTGGGCGTCAGGGGGAGGGGACCTGTGAGGACACCTAAGGACAGCGTAGGTGCAAAAGCGTGGCCATGTGCATGACGAGTCTGTTCAAGTCAGTGTGTTAGCAGATGGCCTTCTCTGTACTGGCGTGGGTGACGCAGCATAGGCCCCCACTGCCCTGTTATCTCTGGGCAGGAGCGTGAGGCTTCCTGGGCTGAGGTCTCCCTCACCTTGTGGCTGCTCAGAGCCAGCCTCAAGTCCTGGTGACAGTGCTTCTCACGGCCTCCATTTGGCAGGGAGGCCTTAGCCTCCTGCCCTTAGGGTGGAGCCCCCAAGAGCATGCTGAGGGGCTCCCTTTCACAGGGGAGCAGGTGGCCTGCTCCTCCGTGGTTCTCCATAGAGTGCTTACCGTCCCCTGCTGAGGGACGGTGGGGGGAGGCCGTGCAGCAGGAAGCGGTCACCTTCCTTCTCTCTGGCCAGCACTGTCAGCTGCACTATGGTGAGTCTGTTTGTGGTGTGACCTTTGCCAGGCGGCGGCAACATGTGTGCCCCTAGATCCTGCCTGCTGACGGCCTCACCTTCCCACTGCAGGGCAGCTGGGGGTGGGGTGGAGCCCTCCTCTGAGGTGGGCTTGTGGACTGTGGGCCCCACGTGGGGCGGTTCCCCCGTAGGTTCCCAAGGTGGCCCGTGCTGCTGGCGGTGACTGGCAGTGAGGACGTGCTGTTTTGGCTCATGGTGATCTCACCTCAGCTCCGTCTCTTAGTTCCCATCTCATCAGAACCAGCAGAAGAGGCAGAGAAGGAGGAGCTCAGGGTTCAGCTGAAGCGGCACCACCCCTCCAGCCCCCTTCCCGGCAGTAAGACCTCCAAGCGACCCAAGATCAAGGTGTCCCTTATTTCTCAGGGGGACACGGCTGGAGGGCCTTGTGTTGCTTCCCAAGGAGGAGCTCCAGATGGTGAGTCTCTTGGCTTCCTTAGTAAGATGGCCGGCCATCTGGGCCTCGGCCTGGCCCCCACGGGTGGGTGACTCACCTTCCCCCTGCTGCAGCAGGTGTGAGAGTGAGGGAGATGGAGCTGGCACACCTGGCGGAGTGCTGGTGACAGGAAGGGAGATGGGAAGCGCCGCAGGGCTGCTGCATGCTTTGGTTTCAGTGAAAGATGATGGGAGACTCCAGAAAGCTTTAAATAGAGGGAGGAAAGCCCCAGCCCCCCTCTGACAACTGTGCTCTTTCGTCCTGCAGTCTTCCCCTAATGTCTTGTTAGCCTGGGCTGTGGGTCTCGGGAAGGGAGGACTGACAGTGACTTTGGTGGTTTCCGTCTCTCAGCGGCGGGCGGGAAGGCCATCGCTGTGACGCTGGGGCAGGCGTCAGCAGGTGGACTGCTCCCCACAGCCAGGTGAGTCTTGCTTGTTTGGTCCTGGTCCCTTCTTCCTGTCACCCCTTATCTGGCTCATTTGTTGTTTGGAAAGATGGTGGCGTCTGTGTTCTGTTGGTCATGGGACTGTGGCTTCTTTCTCATGGGGATGTCTGTCTTTGATTTGGGTCAGCCCAGGGCTCATTTTTACTTAGAGATTGTGGAACATGCCCTGGGTCTTGCTCTGAGGCCTGAGTTCTTTACTTTAGGCCTGACTTAGGAGGACCAGAGCTGGGTGGTTCAGAGGTGTCCAGGTGAAGAGCTTGGGGCCCGCTTGTCCCTCATGTGGCACTGGGGTCTGTTGCCTTCTGACCTTTGGGTGAAGCTTCTGTTCTCTGTGTTTCCAGGTCAAGTGCTTCTGAAGGTGTCGCGGCCAGCCCAGCCCCCTCAGTGGTCTCTGGAAGCACCACACCCAGCACCCTGCACACACTCCAGAGCCGCTTGGTGGCCACCTCTCCTGGCGGCTCCCTCCCAGGTATCTATCTGTTTGCCCAGCCTCCTTGCTCCTGGCTGTCTTTTTGGTCTGTTGCTGGAAAGTGGTCCTCGAAAAGAACGTGACTGACCTGGACTGGTGCCATCCTGTCCCCCCCTAGGCGCCACATCAGCCAGCAGCCTCCTGCAGGGCCTCAGCTTCAGCTTGCAGGACATCAGCAGCAAGAGCTCTGGCCCCTCCGCAAACCCTGGCCTCCCTGGCCCTGGGCCAGCCCCGCAGGTGTGCCTCTGCCTTCCCCTGCTGGGCGGCTGCGGGAGGAGGCTTCCTTGCGTTGTTTGGTTTGGGCAGGGTGACTGGGCCAGGAGTTGTGGGCCAAGGACAAACAGCCGTCCTGCCACACAGCCGGGGGCTGCCAGAGGTCAAGATCCATTATTCACCTTATGGCCTAGGCAAGATTCTTTACCTTTCTGTAAAATGAGATCGTGGTGGTAGCTCCCTTACAGTGTTGTGAGGGGTAAGGTGGTAAGTGCAGGTCCTGGAAGGGGACCCTGCATGTGGCAGGTGCTTAGTACGTGATAGTCTGGGGGCCCTCCAAGCTCGCATGTTGCGGGTAGGCGGCAGCTTCTGATCATCTGGGCTTGTGTGTCCCATAGGCCGCCAGTGTGAAGTTGCCCACCCCCATGCAGAGTCTGGGTGCCATCACCACGGGCACCAGCACCATTGTCCGTACCATCCCTGTGGCCACCACCCTCTCCTCCTTGGGTACCACTCCTGGTGGGAAGCCCACAGCCATCCACCAGCTGCTGACCAATGGGGGCCTTGCTAAGTTAGCAAGTAGCCTTCCTGGCCTGGCTCAGATCTCTAACCAGGCATCAGGTGAGTCTCATGAAACTGTCGGGACTTCCAGATCTGGGCTCTCCCCGGGGACCTTTCCATCTTACACAGGCCAGGTCTGAACCCCACCCCCCAGGGTCCTGGCCTTACCTTTGGGCTCAGCTGTGTGGACCCGTCCTCTAGAGGGTGAGAGGACACCAGCGGTTACCTGCTGCTTCTGATTCACTGGTGGGGCACAAATGTCCAGCTGGGGTGGAGGCTGGGGAGACGGGAAGCCTCAGCAGAAAGTGGTCACTGTGGCTAGAAACCCTGCCTGCTGTCGCCCTCAGGCCTGAAGGTCCCCACCACCATCACTCTGACTCTCCGTGGCCAGCCTAGCAGGATCACCACGCTGAGTCCCATGGGCTCAGGAGCAGCTTCGTCTGAGGAGGCCACCTCCCAGGTGCTGCCCTCTAGCTCCCAGGTGAGTCTGCCTGAAAGGACCAAGGACACAGGTTGTAGTCTGGGCAGTATGGGGCTGGTGGACTGGATGGCCAGCCAGAGGGGTTGCCGCTATATTGCGCCTGTGGACAGGCCAGGTCTCACAGAGGTGACACCTCACTATGACAGCTTGATGTGGGTCTCGCAAAGTTTTCTTCCTATGTGGAGTTCACAGCTCTGTTGCACGGAGCCTCGTTTCTGCCACATTCCTGGCACGTGAGCAGAGCCTGTGTGCGGCGTTCCCTGGACTCCCCCCCTCCTGTTCTTGGCTTCCTTGTGCAGGGGTGGCACTCAAGGGGTCACAGCCTCTTGCAGCTTTCCAGGCCTCTTCCAGCCTCTCGAGGTCTCGGTGTTCACTGCTGTCTTCAGGGTGCAGCCAGGTTTACAGCTCTTGCCCATCAGCTCCTCTTGGCCAATCTGGTTTCCATTGTGACCTTTTCAAGTGAAATGTTTCTAATCTTAAAATGGCGATTTGAGGAGCCACCCAAAGATTATAGGTTAAACCCTAAAATGGTCCAGTTCAGTATTGAGCATGCTTTTCCCCAGTGTGCGCTGTTGAGCCAGGGCAGGTGACAGTTCCTGAGCTGTTGTCCACAAGCCCTCCACCTCTTCCTCTTCAGGGAAAACTGCAGAGAGATCAGTGCCTGGCATTCCTTGGTTAGGGTCATAGCTGCCTCTTTTTGCAGAGGGCGGAACTGTTTTCATTTGACTCCTTATTTTTTCAGCTATAAAAGCAGTTATGTTAACTTTAAATTTTAATTCAAATATCACAGAAATGACGCTCCTCCCAGAGGTGATATCTCACTATGACAGCTTGATGTGGGGTCTCCCAGATTTTTCTTCATAGGGAGTTTATTACTTATTTTAGGAAAGAAGAGGTCACAGAGCATAGATTATATTGTAAAGAGCCTTTGTCTATGGATAGTGTTGTGACGTGTTTTCCTGTCAGTTGCAGAGACCTGTCCGTCTCTTCAGAGGTTGGCAAGTTCTTACTGCGTGGATGTTGACAGCACATCTCACCACCTCCAAGGGCAGGGTTGGGTTTCATTTTGTCACATGGTGAGCGCCTTTGCTTCTGATGCTTGTGTCCCTCTAGGAGCGTCTCTGTGAGCTTGAGACCAGTAAGTGGAGGGTATGTGCAGCTAACATCTGGCCAGCTGCTGACTAATTACCTTCAACTCATTTAGCCAATCTCCAGTTCCAGCCACAGGGGTAAAAGTACCTGTTTATTCTAGCTAGTGGCTGGTCTTTTTTTTTTTTTTTTTTTTTTTTAACTGAAGCATTGAGTGCTTAGCTTTGATTTCAAGATTATTTATTATATGGACATTTAATATATATAGTAAAATCCTTACATATTTCCCTATATGCATCCAAAGTTTTGTGTCTGAAGGAAGCTAGTCCTATCATAAGAATATAAAAATAATCTTTTTGTTTTCTAAATTTTTAGTTGTGGCAAAATACATCAGCATCCAGTTTACCACACTAGCCATATTTGAGCACAGTTGGTGGCCTTACGCAAACTCATGCTGCCACTCAGCCAGCACTGACAGCCTCCCCACCAGGGCTTTCCTGTCATTCCATCATGAAGCTCTGTTTCTGTATTTTCTTGCACTGCTTTTATGAATTGCTTTGTTCCGTAGTCCACTTGGAATTTTATTTTGTGTGTTCACAGAGGCAAGGATGAGTCCATCTTCTGTCCTCAATTGAACTCTGCTGCTCTTACATTCCAGTCTGTTCTGTAGCCTGGATCTGTCTCTTCCTGTAGTTTGAAAATGCAGCTCCTGGGGGTGCTGGGCATAGAGGTCATTGGCATGCACAAGGCCCTGGGTTCAGTCCCCAGTGCCCCCCACACACACAAAAAAGAAAAAGAAAAGGAAGAAAATGCAGATCCTCAAGGAAGTTTGCTGAGATCATCTTTATTCTTTTCCTTTCTCTTGATAAATAATGGGTCTTTAATTATGTCTGTTGGTCTTTTATAATCCAGTAAGATAAATGAGTATGAACATTTCCTTTTTTTTTTTTTTTTAATCAGTTAAAAATATGAGTTACTTTAATAGATTTTCTCATACTGAACTGTCTGAATTCTAGATTCAGTGGCTCATTCATTACGTCCTGTTCTTTTCGAGATGGATCATCTTGCCTCAGTCTCCCGTGTAGCTGGGATTACAGGCATGCACCACCATGCCTGGTTTCCTGTTCTTCTGTTTTTACACATCCCTTACTTATTTTTATTGTGCAGACAAAGGAAACAAGACCCTATCAAAAATTGAGAACAAAATGAGAAAAGAAACCAGTATTTCCAAGGAAAAGCATGTTTCTTCTTTTGATTATCTTTTACTTGGGATTTTGGCCTGTTTATCAGTCAGATTGGCTGGTAGTTGTCTTCTCCCCTCCTCTGCGTGTGTGTGGGATGTGTGCATGTGCACACACACTGTCCTTGTCTAGCTGGTCCTTAAAGAATGAAACAGGAAGTGTGTTGTTGTTCCCCCCCCCCCCTCTCATGCCCTAAAACAATTTAACTAGTAAAAAAGGCTCTGGTCCTTGGTGGGTTGATAGAAGTGACCCACAAAGCCCTTGGACCCTGTCTCGGGCTGACTGCTGTTGCAGGTGCCACATTGGTGCAGAGCTGGACCTCAGGTGCCTTCCCTCTAGAGCAGGTGCTGCTCCCCAGCCTGCTGTGGCCTGGAGGGAGCTGGTTAGTGCTGGGAAGAGAGTCTGGTCACTGGGAGTCTCGTTCTCCACCCCTGAAATGAAGGACGGGGTAGTTAGAATTCTGTTCTTGGACCCAATGGTGTGGATGTTAGATTGGCTTTTGCCTGAGAAAGATGGGTGTGTGGTGTTGGGCGTGGGCCAGGGTGGTCCTTTTCCAACAGAAGGTGGGTATAAGATCAGGGCTTGCTGACTCCTCACTCACACTGCCAGACAGTACGGTATTAAGGAAAGATCACCAAACAGGCCATCTGTTTTCAGCTAGCTGTGTGATCCTGAGCAAATTACCTGACCTTTCTGGGCTTTGCTTTTCTCATCTAGTTCAGTGAGGAAGTTGGCTTTTATATGTAAATGTTGTGGAGAGATTAGTAGCTACTCAGACTCTCCTAGGGCTTCGGGAACACAAATGTTTAAATGTGAGAAACAAAGCACTCATATTTTACATTTATGAGGCAATTGGAAATTTGAACACACACTGGATAGTTTGTTGATATGAAGGAGTTGCTAACCTTTTTATGTGCGATCATGAATTTATTGCATTTAAGTTTAAAAAAAAAAAAACAATCCTTTTTATTCTGGGCTTACCTACCATATTATTTATGGATGGAAGTGAGTTTAGAAGGATTGCTAACCTCAGCTAGGCTATGGAGGGTCTGTGAAAGCACCCAATTATCTGTGTGGCTTCTGGCACTGACTGGTAGTCACGCCTGTCTTTGTGGGAATGGCCTGTTGTAGGGAGAGGCTGTGTTGAGCCCTGCAGGGTCCTGAAGATGGACTTCTTGCTCATGGTCACAGCTGACTGGACTTGCACGGTCCCCTGGCCACCCAGGACTGCAGCAGGCTGGAGGCAGCCTTCTAGCTGCCCACAGTAGGGGGCCTTGCAGCAGCCTGGGGCTGGACAGCAGGGAGGCTGTCCCAGGAGGTCTCCATGGTCACCCTTCTTCCTTCCCCTCCCTGTGCCACATCTTCCTCCCTTGACTGCGTTCCCAGGGTTCCCTGCAGGTGCCATCTGGAGAAGCTGTGGAAGGCGTGCACAGCAGGTGCCAGCCGTCCCCTCGGCTCCTCCTCCCAGCTTTTTAAATTTTGTTTTTCTTGGACACAATCCCTTTATTTTTATTTATGCATGTGTTTATTTTGTGTGGTGCTAAAGATGGAACCTGGGCCTCGCAGTGCTAGGCAAACATCCACTGCTGAGCCCCGCCCCAGCCCCCCCAGCCTTGTATTTTTGGTTGTGCGCGTGTGGTGCTGAGGATGGGACAGGCCTGTGTGTGCCAGACAAGGGCCCCCCCCCCTGCCCCCGGGCTCAGCGTTTGTGGCATACTCCACCCCAGATGTCTAGGCCCTAAAAACGCAGTTGTCAGAATAGTCAAGGAGCCTTCCCTTCAGTCCTGTCGCCCTGTGGGACTCGCCCGGTTCCTCCCGGTCCCTCTGTCTGCATTCCTTCCTGTCCTCCAGGGAGAGCTGACCTTGGGGTGAGCACCCACGGTACTGTGGGTGCTCTGTGAGCTCTCTCACTGATCCTCGCACCACCCTGCAAGCAGGCGCTGTCACCTGTGTCTTGCAGGCGAGGGGGAGGGCTGCAGAGCCTGGGCCGTCGCCCGAGGAGTGTGGTGCTCCTGCTTACGTGCTGTATTCAGCCTCTTCCCTGCTGAGGGCTACTTCTTGGGATGTCAGAAGAGTGGGGTGAGGGTGAGGGGTCGGAGGTGGCCACTGGCTAAATGTTGACCCTGTTCACTGCTCTCCTGCCACAGCGCCTGCCTCCAGCCCCCTGAAGACGCCAAGCCACGCGTCCTCCTTACTAGGCTGGTGATGGCTGCCCGCGGTGGGCCTGGGCTGGTGCACGGTCCCACTGAGCTGAGTGTCTGAAGACCCCTTGAAGATGGTCATTCTGTCGCTCCGCCAACTGTCATCAGGGTTGGGCCTCTGAATGTCGAGAAACCCTTAGGCCAGGTGACAAGGTGCCATCCAGGGGAGCAGCATCTTCTGGGACCTGCGAGCCTGGTTCCTGGGATGCCCCCTTCTCAGCAGATCTGGTCGGGTCTGGTCCAGGGCACTTCCTCCCCAGCTCAGCACAGCTGGACCTGGGTTCATGTTCACCACTCACTGCACGTCACAGAGGAGGACATGGGAACCATTCTGGGCTGTGGGGTTAAGAGCAGGAGCCCGCAGCCCGTTCAGGACCAGCGGGGCTTGTCTTGGATATCACCTGCTTTGCTGAGCAGCCCTTGGAATTGAGAAACCACCTCAGGGACCGAGCAGCCTGCCAAAGCCCCCGGCTTTCAGCGGTTTCATGATGAAGGCAAAGAGAGCTGGGCCGTGTTGTCTTCCAGCCCCTTTGGCCACTGTGGGAGCAGAAGTTGCCAAGGGGTGACAGCTGGCCCTTTGTCCTTTTCCCCATGTGCTGGGCAGTTTCTGCTTCCAGAGAGCCTGCAGGTCCAGGAAGCAGCTGGCGGGGGCGCCAGAGAGCCCTGAATGCAGACGGTGTGGGCCTGGGCTCGGCATCTGGCCAGAGTTGAGAAGCAGCAGCCCCAGGTCAGGGGGACCCTGAGGCCTGTCTGCAGCGCCTGGAGGTGAGGCAGGGACCACCAGCCACAGTAGCCATGATCGTGCCACTGCCCTGGAGGATGCTTGGGCAGCAGGGTGGCAAAGGCTGTGCTCCAGGATTTCTGTTTCTGATTCACACGATGTTTTGTCTCCTGCTTTGTAAGTGGAACGATGAGTGGCAGTGACTCTACCAGGCAGGGTTTCGAATGCCAGCACCCAGCCTGAGCTCTGCTGATCGTGCTCCCTGGGGGACTGGTGGCTGAAGATGGAGCCCCGAGCCCCACCCTGCCTCTTCACGACACGGAGCAAAGGTAGTTTATTAGTGTTTGACTTTGAGCCTGGGCTCCAGAGCTGACTCCCTTCCCTTCCACACATGCAAGGTTGCCAGCCAGGGAGACAAGTAGCCAACCCAGGGTGACTGTGATTAGCCCTGGGCCCCGACCCCCGCCAGACCACCTATGTTCAGTCCCAGGGCCTCAGAGCAGCCTGAGCAGCCGCCTTGAGGGAGAGCACGGTGTTCCTGCAGCCCACACCCTCCCTCCCTGTCTCAGCGGGGCATTAAGGGGCGGGTGGCATTTTGTCATTAGCTGTAGGCAGCTGCTTTCTGGAGTACAGCAGACGATCTAGTAAATTAAGAAAGGTGTGAGACCTGAGAGAGGCACCAAGGCTCAGGGTCTTGGTGGCTGTGTGGTGGGTCACAGCATGCCAGAAGAGCAGAGCGTTAACACTGAGAGCCTCCGCAACTCTTTGGGGACTCATTTAGGACATGCAGAAGGCTGTGGATTACCCTTGTGACAGGTGAGCAGCCTGGACAATGCTGGAGGGGCTGCTTCTGACAGATGCTGGGCCCAAAGACAAACTCATATGTTGTCCTACTTATCTGGGGGCAGCCCCGGGGCCACGAGCTCAGAGGCAATACTCTTGGTGGAAAACATGGAAGGATCAAGAAGCCTTTACGTTCTTGGGTGATGGGTGTTTGTGGATGTCCTGTGGAAGATGTCCTTGGACTTTCAGGAGAGGTCACTGAGGGGCGAAGACCCTGTGTCACCCTTGGTCCCACTGCAGAACAGCCTTGGGCTGGGTGAGTTAGAGCCGAGCACTGGCAGAAACAATTAAAAATCCCAAACCACCGTGGCTCGCTTCAGCCTGTTTTCATTTGACTTCATGTTTTTCTCTACCTGGTAAATGGGTGCCAGAGATAACACCCATACCGTGGAGCCCATGATCACCCCACCAGTGTTGGGTGCTGTGGTTCCTTTCTGACCTGCGAGGACACCAAGGCACAGAGAAGCCACACCGCAGGCAGAGGCAGAAACAGAACAGAACCCAGGCGGCCTCGTGTCTGTTCTGTGCACTGTGTTGGGGTCCGACCCGGAGCCAGAAGGAGGTCAGCCAGGAGGTGAGGCTTGGCTTGGCCCACAGGGTGCTCCTTTTCAGTGCACCTCCCCCAGATCAAGCGGGCCTCTGGCTGGGCCTTAGAGATGAGCATCCCTCTGCACAGTCGACCCGCTGAGCCCCAGATGGGTGCGTGGATCCCAGCCCCAGGCTGTTTGTGAACTTGGGCCCAGAGGACCCTCCAGTTCCGCATCTGTACTTGGCATTGGCCCCTCTGGTGGAGGCCGTGGTGCTGCTGGCTGCTGGCACACTGAGCACAACTCTGACCCATAGTAGAGCCCTGCTGTGCTCCTTCCGACCCTAGGCCCCTAGCCTTTGCCCACAGGGGAGCCAGAGCAGCAGGCTGTTAGGCCTGGGGAGTGGAGGTCAGGGCTTCAGAGAACCAGGGCAGTGGGCCCTCCCTCCACTCGCCTCCATTCCTGAGCTGTTTCAGTCAGGACTGAGGGTGAGCAAAGCAGTCTGGGCAGGGAGCCTCATTGTCCCGACCTCTCCTGACTTGAACTCTCCTTCACCCTGGGACTCTGCAGCCCAGTCCTCCCAGTGACTGGCAGTCCCTCTCTTCCTCCTGCTGGCTAGTGGTAACACACACACACACACACACACACACACACGCCGCCCTGATTGAAGGTGCAGCCTGGTGTCTCCCTGATGAGAGGCTCCTATCTCTTCCTACGTCCTGTCCTGGGTAGTACAGGTTCGCACCGTCACTTTTCCAGGAGGAGATGGAGGGATGAGACAGGCAAAACTCAGGCTGCTGTTGGGCTGCGAGTGTGTTTTTAACTTGCACCAGAATATAGAGATACCCATGTACTCTGGCCACGTCCCCAGTGCTCACATGTCATGGAAAGATGATGCCACATCAAGACCAGGACTCTGGCACGCGCACAGTGAACTCCGCTCCATTGCTGTACTCTGCAGCCACCGTCGAGATGAGAGCTGCTCCACCCGCACCGTCACCCCCACACCTGTCCCCCATTCCTAACCCACTGCAGCCCCTCATCTCTTCCACGTCTCTAGGACTAGGATCCTACAGTATGTGACTTCGTGCTTTCTTTTTTTTTTTAATTTCTGTTACTGCGGATTGGACCCACGGGCACTTTACCACTGAGCCACATCCCCAGCCCTTTTTATTTTTCTATTTTGAGACAGGGTATAAGTTGCTTAGGGTCTTGCTTAAGCTGAAGCTTAGCCTCAAACTTGGGATCCTCCTGCCTTAGCCTCCTAAGTCATTGGGATCACAGGTGTGTGCTACTGTGCCCAGTTGTAATTTGTGTGTGTGTGTGTGTGTGTGGTGGTGTTTTTTTGTTTTTTTTTTCTAACCTGCTTACATCATTGGAAGTGCTTTGTAAACAGACAGCATTTAGCATGATTTATTTTTTTCTCTGCCAATCTTTTTCTTTTAATTGGTGTTTTTAGATTGTTCCTGTTATATGTAATTATAGATATGTTAGTGCTTAAGTCTGCTGTTTTAATTTTTGGGTTTGTTCTGTTTTCTCTTTCTTTTTCTTGGATTACTTTAACATTTTTTATGAATACAGTTTTGATTTGTCCATAGGTTTGGGGTTTTTTTGGTGTGTGTGTGGTGCTGGGGATTGAACTCGGGGCCTATTGCATGGGAGGCAAGCACTCTACCAGCTGAGCTGTATCCCCAGCCCCGTCTATAGTATTTTTCACTATATTTCTTTTATAGTTTTTTTAGTAGTACTTTAAAGTGTTACATTATATGGAGACCAGTGGACTGCTAAATAAGCTACATATAATCTTCTCTTGCTTCCAGTATGATTTTCTGTCTACTTTAGTGTTCAAAGTTTTGTTTCAAGTATAATTTAAGGAATAGGAGAAAGTCTGTGGTAGTTAACCGTGTCTTACCCCTTCTGTTTTTCTCTCCTCCTTCCTGCTATTCCAAGGTTCCTTATTATTTCCCTTCTGTATAGGGAACTTCTCAGGACGACTGGGGTTGAGCCCAAGCCTGTTCTACCACTGAACTGCACCCAGGCGTTTTCATTGTATGTTGATACAAGGATCTGGCCTCAAACTTGTGCTTCTCCCCCCTCAGCCTCCCGAGTCATGGAATCGCAGGTCATGTGCACCGTGCTCAGCCAGGTAGTTTTCCCTTGTTCAAAGGAAGGTCAGAGGCTGAGTTGGAAGATTAGAATTAAGAACTGAAGGATCTGGAAATGTAGCTCAATGGCAGATGGTTTGTTAGCATGTATGAGGCCCTGGGCTCTATCCCTAGCACCGCAGAATAAATAAATAATATGGGGAGCTCTCCCAAGGCATCCTAGGAGCCAAGAGTGTGGAGGGCACAGTGGACAGTACAAGACAGGTTGCCATGGATCGGCTTCCCTGCAAAGATCAGGGCCAGAGGGCGGCACCGGCTCTCCAGGCCTCCAGCTCAGTGCTGCTCTGCCCTGCTTCTCAGCATGCCCTGTGGGACTAAGTGCTACCGGGGCCTGAAATCTGGGGCCAAAAGGACAGAAAGGTGGCAGTGGAGGAGGAGGAGTGGACAGCTGGCTGGATGGGGAGAACCGCAGCCCAGGATGGCAGCATATTGAAGTGAGCAGTGTGGATGAGCCCGCCTTGCCCGGAGGAGGAGAGGCGGAAAAAAGCCCCAGTGTTAACATGCTGAAGAAAAGAAGACGTCCAGTGTGCACTCCTGGGGTCCCAGCACCTGGGAGGCTGAGGCAGGAGGATTACAAGTTCAAGGGCAGCCTAGGCCACTCTGCCGTGTTTTCCATACACCTGGCTCGCAGTTATCTTGGGATTTAAAGTATAACCAAGTCCCACCCTTGGAGCTATGGCTCAGGTCCGGCATGTGGCTCTGGAATTCATTTTAATAAGAGCCTTGGGTGATTGTAATGGAAAAACACCAGAGTCCTGGGCTTCAGGCACTGCTGGTTCTAGCCCCACCTTAGTTCCCAGAGGATGCACCTGAGGTGGGGGAGGAGAGGTGTTTTCCGGGGCCACACAGCTGTCCGGGAGAGCTGGGACAGGCCCAGGTTCTTTCTGAACGCCTCGCCCTGTCCCTGTGGTCCTGGCCTAATAGCAGATGGCAGAGCTGGTGCTCAGCCCTTCCTGCTGTTGTGTCTCTGTTGCTGCCCCAGGAGCACTGGTTGTGCAAAGGCAGAGACGGTCTCCCACCTCCTGCAAAGGGAGCCCTGGAATGGCTTTCTGGCCACTGGTATCTCTAGCGTGTAGGGATTCCACGAGGCACTTATAAGAATACAAACATTCATGTATAAGGGGCACTCAGAAGCCAGGGAGAAGGGACAAACAGTGTGCACACCAGTGGTGTGCAGCATGGTAGATTTTCACAAACACCAAGGTACAGATTAAGGAATAGTATACTGCCACACTATCCTTTTGCTCCAGGTCATCCTCTTTCTCCACTTGTACCACGGATACGTTTTGCCTGTTTTTTAACTATAAAAATGGAACCAGCCAGGCGTGGTGAATCACACGCCTATAATTCCGGCTACTCAGGAGGCTGAGGCAGGAGGATCACAGGGTTGAGGCCAGCCTGGGCAACATAGTGAGGCCCTGTCTCAAAAACTAAAAGTAGCTCAGTGATAGAGTGCCCTGGGATCCATCCCTGCTACTGGGCCTGCCTTCTGCGTCTGGACTCTTCGAGCACGGTGTGTGTGGGGTTCGTCCATGTTCCTTTTACGTATAGTAGATGGGTCTTTTTTTTCTTTCCTTCCCCCACTACCTCCAGTGCTGGGGAAGGACCCAGGACCCTGCGTGCTGGGCAGGCATGCCACCCCTGAGCTGCACCCAGCCCTGGAGCCTTCTTAATATTGCATAGAATTTCACTGTGTAGCTGCATCCCCCTGTGCTGGTTCCCAGAGGCGGAGAAACGCTGCTAACTGTTGTAGAAACACTACTAACACTGCTCCCTGGACGTGCCTTTGGTGAGCACATGGACACATTTCTTGGTCTAGCAAAGTTGCTGGGGGACAGGAAGGTCTGCTTGTGTCCAGCTGAGGGCAGCACTGTGAAGAAGTCGTAGCATGTGGCACTTTTTAAAGGCCAATCTTTGAGTAGGACGACACTGGCTTGGAATTCACCTTCCAGTGGCATTTCTGCTGAAGGCGGTAGATGTCAGGGGACACAGCCAGGCATGCTTGGGGCAGGTGGTAACATAGGCTGTGTCCTGTTGAGCTGCACCTCAGCGTGTCAGCATGCGCTACCACTTCACATGAACAGGTGTGTCTTCTTTCAAGGATTTTTAATAGATACCTTAGTTAACGCATTCGCAAGAAAAGATGGCGGGCTCAAAGGGCACCATTCGATTAGTAAAGGGAAACAAGGGACAGTGCCCAGGGACGCAGCAGTACACAAGTGCTCCCAACCTCAGGTCTGAAGGAGTGCGGTGCTGTGTCCTGCCGGGAGCTGTGGTCGTGGAGGGGGTCTGCCGGGCAGCTCTGGGTAGCAGATGCAGGGAGCAGGTGGCCTGGGCTGGGGTGAAAGCTCCAATCTGCCCTCAGCAGGTGTGCCCCTGGGCAAGGCCAGCTGGCACCCAGAGACAGGGAGCCAGCAGCTCCTCCTGGGTAGTGCCCTAGGGCACAGCAGGGAAGCCAGGGGCAGGGACAAACAGCACACAGGGAACGTATTGAGAGGATTTAGGGACATACAGTAAAATATAAAACAAGAGTACTTATGGCCTAACAACCAAAACCACGGGCCAGCACGTCCGTCGTGGAGTGCTGTTCCTCTCCCAGCGCAGGAAATGGGACCCA